TGATGGCGAGGATATCCTCTTGAGTTAATTTCACCTTGGCCTTGGCACTGTCGAGTGACTCCTCCTGCTGCTGCTTCAATGTCTGGGATAGTGTTTCTGCCTTTGTCTTCAACTGCTCAAGCTCTTCCGTGACTAGCTTTAGCTCATCCTGAGTGGACTTCACTTGATTGGATTCAATATCCTCCTTCGCCTTATCTTCACAAAGACGATCTTTAGCCTCGGCCAACTGTCAAGCAATATGTTCATTCGTCGCCTTCTCCGAAGATTTAGACCGTACTCCGTCATAAGAGTCGGCGTTGTCAAACAAAACCTTCAATGAGCTCTCGATAGTGGAAAATCAAACTTGTCGCATTGCCTCATAGCACAAAAATGAGTGACACCTCTTCTTTTATGGAAGACAAGGAGTCGATAGGAGTCGCCATGACCTTGTCACAAAGGTCGTACCACATGCCTTGAAGATACTTCTTTTGACGGTCAAGAATGAACTTCTCCCCTTTGAACTCTGAAGCGGCTGGAGTATGAAGATTTTGTTGAGCAGTAGATTTCTTCGCACACGTTGGAACATTTGCTACAGAAGTCGCTTCATTGTCTTGAGACTCTTCGTCATCATCAGAACCAAAGACATCCCGTCGAGCCTTAAAAACAGAAATGAAATACATATATCAATAAGAAAGAAAACTCGAGGTAGAAGTAAAGAAGAAGAAATAGACTTAGGGAAAACCTTAGCCATGAGGTCCTCTGTCTTATGTTGATTTTCGACTGTTTTCTCCACGTGCTGCGAAGAATCAGTCGTTCGCTTTGCTCTCTTCCAATATTGGTCGACACTGCTACTTTCTACTTAAGAGGTGGACTCACTCTTTCTCTTGTTGGTCCCAGGAATTCTGGCGAGAAGCGCATCATCATCTTCACTTGTAGGATCACCCTGGTCAACAACTAGCTCCTTGTCTTTCGAAAATATCACGTTCGGCTTTGATGCAACTAAATCCTCTATATGGCGTTCAAGATAGCCTCCATGAACTTGATGCCACCATGACTTATAAGCTGGTGTTTATTTCTTAGCATTTGTTGAGGTACAAGGCAATGAATCTTTGGATGAGGATCCGCATAGAACGCTCAGTTGCCAATAGTGAATTCCGTCGTCAAGAGAGCCCTATGGAAGTCTTTTTTCAAAATGCCGGGAACATCTTGATAATACCCAAATTGACGACTGAATCGATGGGGACTATATGGTTCTGTAAAAAAGCGATTGCCTTGACGCCACGTTAGGTAGTTAGACCGAATCGCCATGAAGTACCTCCATTCGTATCCAGGTCTTCGTTGATCATCGACGTATCGGGAAGTCTGGTCTTTGATGATGATATTGCAAGTCCATAAAGCGGAGTTCCCCTTGTGGATACGTCTGCGGGCCTCCTCGGGCTCGAAGTGTCTTGCGCCGTTCTCACCGGAATATGTCACCATCATGGGCTTGCGCGATTGATCAATTGCGAAGTGAGTTTTAAAATAGAGTGTTTGCCAGCCGTAAACGAAGTGGACGGGAAATATCGATCGAGATGGACTTGCGCAACTTGTAAACTCGTTCAGCCCCTTGTAGATGCTCGTCAACACCGGAATTGCTAGACCGACCGTCTGACCCTTGACCATCATGCTTGCTATCTTGAAGGTGCCCGGATGAATTATGTCGACATCGCCATTAGGAAGGACGGATGTGCACATCCAACAGGAGAGGTAGGCCGCCAAATGAATTTCTTCTTGCAGCTTTGGCTAGGTCACGACCATCTTCTTGAACAATAGATCTTCGGCGGAGGTCCAGCGTCGATGTTCTTTGAAGGTGGCGGGCGAATTATAAGTCGACTTGAGGCGAATTATCCTCTTCTTCTCTCCATTCCTCTTATCAGCACGATTGGGGGGTTGTCTGTATTTGATGGCCTTCTTCGACCAAAACTGCACCCATCGATCGATTGACACTTGTCCGTCGTCGGTTTCTTTGCAGAATAGATGATAGGCGTGGAAGAGGTATCTGCAGCAGCGAGGGAGGCATAAATTCTTGCCTTTGTTGATCCCGACCAACTCGTTTGCATCTGGCACCACCTCGTCGAAAATAAACCCACTCGATGGAAGTCCCGCCAATGTATGTAGGTCCCATAGCGATATTGAAAGCTCCCCGGAAGACGTTAAAAGTGTGTTGGTAGAAGCACACCATGCCTCGCAGAATGAGGTGAAAAGCACACCATGCCTTGATGATCTCGGGATTGCGGTCGTAGGTGAAAAGCGAGGCGTAAACATCATCATAAATCTCTGCCTTGATCAGGTTGCTTCTGCATCGGCTAAGTATGTCTTCAGTCCACTCCCAATATCCTCGCGTGTAGTGAAATTCGCCGGCAAAGTTGATGATTTCTCCCCATGCAGCTTTACCTCGTGTGATGCATCGTCCTAAAGTTGGCAATGGCGACGGCTCTGTCTCGTTCTGCTGGTTGTGATGAGTCGCTTGCAAGATCCATGCTTTGGACTTCCCGTAGGCACACTCTTGAGTCCACTCGCTCATGGAGTTTGTAACTTTTGGCCACGTCTTGGAAAAATTACCAATGATTGGGTCTTCAACTGCAAAGCAGGTCCCTTTCTCTAGCGGTTGGTATTTGGTGTCGAGGACTACTAGATATCACTTTTCCCAGATAGAAGTGCTTGTAAAGTAGATCATCTTGTTTGCTATGATCACAAGAGTTAAAAATAAAATTTGAGATTAGAATGGAAAAGAGAGCTAAGTAGTTTGGAAATTTGCTTGAAACGTGGAAGCTTGATGTTGACAAAAACAGGCCACGTAATTGTTGGCGGATGCTTACCGTGCGAAAAAAAAAAACAAAAAAAAAACAAAACGTGATTAATCAAAAGAACAGACAGTTAAGAAGAAAGAAAAACAGCAGCTAAACGGCTCAATTTCAGCCGGACAGCCCTCGAATGGCCTCGGTTCGGCCAGGACATCCCTCGAACGGTATCGGTTCAGCCCGAACAACACCCGAGTAGCTTCGTTTCAGCCCGACAGCGGTTGGAGAGCCTCGTCTTAGCCCGAACAGCTCCCAGATGACCACATTTCAGCCCGGACAACTCCCGAATCGCCTCGTTTCAGCCCGAACACCTCTCGAACAGCCCGTAAGAAGCCCCGACCGCAATAGGATCGTTTCAAAACAGCTTTGCGAGCAACCCGAACAATATGTGACAGCAAAACGGAAGAAAGGAGAATGGTTTGAAAGAAAGAAAAGTATGTTTGTACCGTTCGGGCAATTGATCCAACGCCTTGCGGCCGAAAAGTTGGAAGCTGGATGTTTATGTCCTCCACCAATTTTTTTTTTTTTTTTATACAGCAACACAGCAACAGAGAAATAAAAGAGAGAGAATCGAGCACAAAAGAAGAAGAACTCGTAACTTGTTTGAAGAATTAAGTCAACGGATCATAGCCTTTTATAGGGTGGGATTCATGTGAATTTAGGAAATTTCATATCCTAATATAGTGAGGAATTGGCCTAGAAGCGTGTTTGTTTTGAGGTTGGAAAGAAAATATATTGAATCCTTCATAATTGGTTGGGTTTATGATTTTACCGAGTTAAGAACTAATGTCTGTGCGTGTGTTTTGGCTCAACTGAAGCAAAGCGCCTAGTTCGAAAAAGGAAAGCGGAGTATGTATAATGCCTTTAATTACCTTTGAGGATATACATGAGCAATCTTGGAAAATCTATGTTTATGGAATAATGATATTTTCTCACCATGCAAATTTGTTTGGCAGTATCTTCTCGTGATTTGCAAGGAACCAACAAATAAGTGTATAATCAAATGGGCCAAAGCAGCTTATTTAGGTTCATGATGGGTCGCAATATAATTAGAAGTTGGGCTATGGTTTAATTAGAAGTTGGGCCAAATTGTAATTGGAAGCTTAATTAATTAATGGGCTAAATGAAACTCATTATCTTGGTTAGATTTTGGGTTTAAGTTTTGAGAGTGGGCTTTAAGTTTTGAAATTGGTCCGACCGCATGGTTAAAAAATATCGCGACTTATTCACTCCAAGACACGTCGTCCGTGAACAAGTCTCGAGGGGGCATTTGTAGAGACAAAATTTGTGGTCAATCAAATGGCGCACGTGGAAATTAATTTATTAAAAATCAAGTCATATTTTCTATTTATATTTTAGAAATTTTCATAAATTTAATTCCTAAATTTAAATAGTTAATTAATTGATATTTTAATATTTTAATTCTTGAACAATCAAATAATGTCAAGTGTCAAATCTTAATTCTTAGTAATAAATCATGTCTTCTAGAAGATCTTGGGAGATCTAGATAGATCTAAAAGATCTTATGTGAATCATCATGGACCAATCAAATCGCGTCCTACGATTCTTAAATTTGGTAGGGTTCTCCCTCCTACACCTAAAAATAGGGGCTCCCCCTAATGTCAAAAAGACACCTCATAATTCATATTCAAATTCAAGAGCTCTAGAGAATTCTCTCGACGAGATTCGAGTGTTCTTGAATATTCAAAGGCGTTCTTGAAGATTCGAAGCAAGATTCAAGCGCGTTCAACCTCAAGAATAGCGTTCAATCCGGAAACAAGCTGCAAAGCCTCCGAATAACGTTAGTAAATTCAAAACCGGCATGGAGAAGATTCAAGATCTACTTTGCGACGAAGACCAAGGATTCGTGCTCTTCGCATTCTTGGGATATTTCGACGTTTAATCCGAAATCCAGGCGTTGGCCCTCGGATTAACGTTATTTCAAGTCAAATCAAGTCAAGGAGAAGATCAAGCCGAAGATTTCGCTCCAAGACTTAAAATTGTTCGTGAGAAGAATCAGATGAATAATAGAGATTGTAACCCGCTATATTTATTTTTATTCGAGAAATTTATTTGAATAATATTTTCGTGTTTATAAATTCAATACACGAAATTTGTTATTACTCACAACTTTAACCACAAAATCTGGGTTCCTCTCATCTTGAAGTAAATGCAATTCACCAAACTGCCCATCCAAAAACCTCTTTAGAAAAAAAAAATAATTAAAAAAAGAGAATAAACACAACATAATACAATACACTCATATTTTCTCCTTAATAATTTGTTACCTCACGAAATAAAGTTTCAGTATATTCAATAAAACTCCTCTGCAGCTGATCAACTTCCAGTCTTCCATTGTGCTTTCTCTTCCCCACCCCTCTCTCTCTCTCTCTCTCTCTAGGTTTTTTTCACTACACATAAATGTACAAAGTAATAAAAGATAAAATCAAGAAAGAAAGATTAATTTGGTGAATTTAAATGAAGCCAACATGATCTCTCTCTTCCTGATGTAGGGAAGCGTAATTCTGCATTACTTTCCCACCTCTCTCTCTCTCTCTCTCTCTCTCTCTCTCTCTCTCTCTAGGTTTCTCATTGATTTCTCTGGTTTTATGGTGTGATTGTGTCACACACAGGACATGAAATCTACATATTTGGACATGTCTCAAGACATGGCCATGAATCGGTCCGAACCGTCAAACTCGACCAGCTCAGCCCGGAGGTCAACGATTTTGGGCCCGGCCCGAATCATTGACCACAGGCCTTGAACCGGCCCGTGATTTTTATCCGGGCCGGTTCAGGAAACCGCAATTCTGATTCCAATTTTTAACTTGAACCAGTCAGGCGGGAGGTTTATTTATTATCATTATTATTATTTTTCAATAATTCAAATTACATATGAAAAAAGTATGGATTTTTTTTTTGTTTTGGGTTGGGTCGGGCCTGGAACCGAAATCATGAAATCTAGATTTTTGGATTGTTTTAATTGTTGGAGTTCTAACGATTCTTTTTTTTTTCTATACGATTCCAGGTCGGGTTGGTTCAAACCCCGTACAGTGTGTGTCAAATTTTTTAAACCGACCATTGGATAATTCTGACTGTTGAGATTTACCTGTCAAATTTGCGTTAAATTGTTTGAGCCGGTGATTCACGAATTAAAA